CATATAAATAATTTGTTTATCCATTCACCCTGGGAAAGACATTGGGTACTTTTTCTTTTTAGTTTTTGGCTAACACACTCCTTCCTGCTAAGAAGCTGCTGTGAAAATACAGGTTTTCATTTCTCTAGGATAAATACTTACCAGCAAAATTAGTGAGTCATGAGACAAATATATTTTCTTACCAATCACACCAACCCCAAAGTATATTTTCTTAATATTGATGTGGCCTCACTTAAGAGAGTACCTTTGTAGGGGAGAGCGTGATGTTCAGGCATTCTTTTCCTAAAATACTGTGGGTTTTACATTCTAGCCATTCATATTGCTTTTTTGGAACATTTTTATAGATAAAGCCTACTGCCATCCTTCTCATTCATAGTGACCCTGTGTCTTGTTTCTAAGTGGAGACTACTCGTCTTTTTCCCTAGGGGTAGCTGATGGATTTTAACTGCTTACCTTTTGGTTATCAGTTTGACACTCAGTTAAAACCAGTGAAACTTTGCTGTTAAGTCCATTTAATTTCATTGCAACTCTAAATTTTTAGTAACTCTACACTTTATGAGAATGTCTATCTGTGTTTCATTAACTACACAAAGACATTTGACTGTGTGGATCACAACAAATTACGGCTAACCTTGAGAAGAATGGGAATCCCAGAGTACTTGATTGTGTTCATGGGAAACCTATACTTGGCTCAAGAACCAGTCGTCAGAACAGAACAGGCAAACACTGCATAGTTCAAAATCAAGAAAGGATTGGGTCTGGGATGCATCCTATATCTGTACCTTTTCAATCTGTATGAGGAACAGATCATTTGGGAAGCTGGTCTTTATAAGAAAGAATGTGACATTAGAATTGGAGGAAGACTCATTAACAACTTGAGTTATACAGATGACACAACCTTGGTTGTTGAAACTGAGGAGGACCTGAAGCATCTGCCGCAGAAGGTCAAAGTCTGCACACTACAATATGAATTGAAGCTCAATGTCAAAATAGTTTCTCGCTAGTGGGGCAATTGAAGCCATGTGATAGGTGGAAAAGAGATTGAGATTGATGGAGGGTTACTACTGTGAGTCAGAAGTTGACGGGATGGCAGTGGGATTGACTGGGATTTTAACATACTCTATAATTTATTGTTTTAATGTTTGTGTTTCCTCATATTCTGCCACTATAATTATGAGCTATTGAGGGCAGGAATCTTTTATCAATTTTATTTACTGTATATTCTGTGTGTGTGTATCTATCTATCTATCTATCTATCTATCTATCTATCATCTATCTATCTATGTATCTATGTGTCTCAGAGGTTGACTCTCAGTAAATATTTATTAAATTAATGCTTACAGCATATAAGGCATCAACAAGTTGTCAAAGAATCAGAGGGAGATGCAAAGAATGACAAGAAGCTTATAAATATACCTAAACAGTAGTTGAGGCAATTGAAAACATTATCTCAGAGATAGTTGAAACATGATCCCTTAACTTTTGAAGGGTTGTTCATTTGAAGAGATAATTGTGTTTATTATGTGTTGCCCATTAAAGACAGAGTTAATCCAAACAAGCCAGGCTTCGGTCCAGGATGAAAAGAGATACTCTCAAAACTAGACTTCCTTAAAATTATGTTTGGTTTCCATCAAGTAGTGAGCTTCCTACTGGCAGAGGTCAAACGCAGTGATCAATCAACAAGGGTTGAAAGGGATCGTGCAGAGGAAAACAAAATTAAGTGACCTTGACAGGTGTGTTCTAGTTGTAAGATTCTGATATCTGTAGTCCAGTTATTCCTGAAAATACAGAATGAATGGTGAATCAATTGTGGAGTTAGTTTTTTTTTTTAAAATGTTCATTCTGATTTGAATTAAAGTATACAGAACAATTTGGTTTTCCATTCAAACAGTCCATACACATTGTTTCATGACATTGATTTGACCCTTTTTTTTGCCTCCAAAGTGATGTTTCTTAAAAAATTAATAGAGGTCATAATATTGTTTCTTTGTCTAAGTACAGCCATTTTGATATTTTCTTTTTTTAAATTGTTATTTTAGTGAAAGTTTACAGAAAGATGGTTCTTCATTCATTGATACACGTTTTCCTCCTCCTCCCCCGCAGTTGACTTTATCTTGTTCCAGATTGTCAATTGCCATACCTATAATTTTCATTTTACTTTATAATGTCATGTCATAGATAACGTATACCTTTCTAATAATTAGGATTAAATATTTTAATTATATATATATATGAATTATAGGACTTAATATTTCATCCTTTCATTATGCCAAAACCAAAATATAATTATACTATCATTTTTGGCTATTATGTTCTCATTTGAGAACATTCACCTATGTCATGGAATAAAATCCTCATTCTCTTTTTTTTTTAATCCTCATTCTCTTAAAGTTAACTTATAGTTAATTAGTCTTATATTTAAAATTTTGGGCTTTATTTTTTGTTTTACAATAATCGTCACTTTTAAAAATGGTTATATATGTTCATTATCTTCGTTTTTAGGAGCGAGATCGTTATGCCTACAAGATTCATCTTCCAGAAACAGTGGAGCAACTGAGAAAATTCAATGCAAGGAGGAAACTAAAGGTAAATTAAAGAAATTCACAAAAACAAACAGCTGATTAGTAAGTTTTTATTATATTTCAGTGTCCGTAACCATATCTTAGTTTGGGCCATTGTTTTCCTTAAAATAAATCCTCATTTATAAAAACTACCATCAAGTTCATAAGATTTGGAGTTTTTAAAAATCTAATTGTTTGTGGAAATATCTTTAATATGAATCTAACAATCCATTTTTTTAATAAAAGAGTACTTTAAATCAAGAGACAAGAAAACGATATAATCTATTACCTGTCCCTAAATAATACTGAAAGCCTCACTCATTTACTCATCCTATTACCTTCAGAAATATAGTAGATACTAAGTCATGTGCTACAACAAACACAGGAATCAATTTCAGTTACTTTCCATCCTTTTGCAACCCCCTAGACCAATAGTCAACATTATCATAGTCGGAGAAAGGATTGAAATTGCCGATGACTTCATCTTTTTTGAAATAATCAACAACCTTGGTACCAGCATTCAGGAAATCAAGAGACATATTGTATTGGGCAAGTCCACTGTCAGGGACCTCTCCAAAATAATGAGCAATGGTGTCCATTTGAAGACTAAGGTGCACCAAAATTAGGTCATGGTTTTCTCACCTGCTACACATCAGAGAGCTGGACAATGAATAAGGATGATAGAAGAAGAATAGATATCTTTGAGTTGTGGTGCTGGAAAAGAGTACTGAATATCCTGTGGACTGCCTAAAGAACAAGCAGATGTGTCTTAGAAAAAGTACAGCCAGAGTCTCCTTGGAGGCAAAGATGGTGGAGCTTCCTCTTACATGCTTTGGACATGCAGCTAGTAGAGGCTTTCCTTGGAAAGATGCAGGGTCAGTGAAGGAGAGGAAGATTGCCAATGAGATGAATTGACACAATGACTTCAGCAATGAGACGGCACAGGATAGGACAGGACTCAGACTAGCTGTTCAAAGTGTTACTGTGAGTCATGCTCAACTTGATGCCACCAGTGTTTAGATATCATGGGAAACAATCCATTTTACTAGGCTGTTGTTGTTGTTGTTATGTGCCGTCGAGTCGCCTGTGACTCATAGCGACCCTATGTACAACAGCCCTAAACTATTCTCTGTCCTGTGCCAATCACACTGTCTCTGACACTCCCATCCCAATTATCCCAGTCACTGAATCAATCCACCTCGTAGAGGGCCTTCCGCTCCTGCGCTGTCCCTCCACCCTCCCAAGCATGATGTCCCTCTCTAAGGACCGGTCTCTCCTCACAACATGTCCAAAGTAAGTTAGACGGAGCCTCAG